ACGCACGCACGTATACGTGCACACACACGCACATGTGTATGTGCACACGCACGCACACACGCACGCATGCACGCATGTGTACGTGGACAGGCACTTGTACGTGTCACGTGCGCGCGCATGCACGTGTACGTGCACACGCCCGCACGTGTACGTGTACGTGCACACGAACGCAAGCACGCACGCACACACGCACGTATGCGTGTACGTGCACACGCACACATGCACGCACGCACGCACGCCTGCACGTGTAAGTTCACACGCACGCACGCGCACACGCATGCACGCACGTGTACGTGCGCACGCACGCACGCAGCACGCACGACGACGACGTGCACGTGCCCTACATAAACAGCGCTTTCTATCAGAACATGTGGTCATTCATCTGTAAATGTCAAGCAGCACACTTCGCTTCTGCCAACCACAACACATAACAAATACACGTGACCTGATCTATGACGTCACGTGAAACATCGCTATAGTGATAGTGATAATCATAGTGATACAGTGATAAGCCTTATCGCCAATCGGAACAGCAATGCGTCATGCCATGGGATAGGGGCATTACTAGCGCCGCCGCTGCCACGAGCAGTTAGCACTTAGCAGCCGGCTGCACGCAATAGGCATCAGTATGCATGCGCGATACCTTTCGCATATATTTGGTAATTAATTAGACTAATCGTGCTTCAACAAACTGAAAATTCACAGAGATTTATAGCTAAGACATGTGTTTATATTCATCTAGACTTCTACATGGTTCGCACAGTCCTTGAAAAGTCCTTGAATTTGAGGGGGGTCCTTGAAAAGTACTTGAATTTAGTAAATGTTGATTTTGTGCTTGAAAAGTCCTTGAATTTCATGAAAATGTCCTTGAATTTCATGAAAAGTCCTTGAATTTCATGAAAATGTCCTTGAATTTTTAGAAAGAATCCTTGCCTGTAAGTGTAATAAAAAGAAATTTTGTACCATCAATAATGTGCAAACCTTTAATGAGTTAAATGAGCTTAAAAAGCTATAGACACGATAGACAGTTAAATGATGATCACAAATTACAGTAAGTCAGTAAAATCAGTCAGTAAATCAAGATATGTTGTAGAAGTGACAGTGTTTAGAAGGGTTTATTAATGTGATCCAGGTAAGTTTTAGAGGTCACAGTGATTAAGAATGGGGTTATTATTAAATTAATTCAGGTATGTTTTGTTCTGTGTATGAATTCCGATAAAATGTCCGATAAAATGTCCTCGAAGTTCCGATAAAATGTCCTTGAAAAGTCCTTGAATTTTTTTTCGGTCCTTCTGTATGAACCATGTTCTAGAAATGTAACTCAACTCGTTCGCGGGATATGATAGTTAGTACCCTTTCTTATCGCCCATAGCCGTGCGTATAGCCGGCTGCACGCAATAGGCGCCTATATATTTGGTAATTAATTAGACTAATCGTGTTTCAACAAACTGAAAATTCACAGAGATTATAGCTGAGACATGTGTCTATATTCCTCTAGATTTCTAGAAATGTAACTCAACTCGTTCGGGAGATATGATCAGATAGTTAGTACCCTTTCCTATCACCCATAGCTATGCGTATATTACCTATGAGCGCCGATCGATGCCCCCTTTTCTATCACATCATGCTTTGCGGTGGTGCGCCATCTGGTGATATTTACCGATTAGCGATAAGGTCTATTAGCAATGCACAATCATGTGACAATGTGTCATTATTTATGATTATGTGAAACGGACAGGCCAGCAACAGCCTGATGCCTGATGACGTTCTTCAAATTTATTTTAAGCTGTAGTACTGTTTTTTTCTACAACGATACCCATGCGCAGTTTTGCTTTAAAAAAAGTCTATGCTCTATCGCACGAGTAACAGTCACAGCATGTAATGTTTGCTTTCGTATCTTGTAAGTTCAAGTTGTAATGTATGTTATCAGTTAGGTCTTCTTGGTTCCCTCTCTTATTTTTACACAATCCTAATTTGGGACCCCAGCCCCATTTTTTCGCAAATGTGCTAAACTAAGGTTGGGTCCGTAATTTTTCATAAGGCATAAATTCTTCTGAATGTGCAGGCTGTACCTAATGAGTCTGTTTTGTAGACGCACATCATTTAAAAGCTGGTTTACAACACTTCTACTTTTAGAGCACTCTGTTTAAATCGTAATTTATTTACAGATTACATTTCGATTAGCGTTAGTGTTACCAAAACAATTAGTACTGCAAAATGTTTACCGTCAGCTAATGTCTGTGTGAAATGCATTGCTTCTCGTCATTATTCGACAAAATGCATACTGGAATCAGGAGAGCTACTCTAGTCATCACTAGCAGTTTATACTTGGGAAATATAGGTCCAGTGGATAGACAGATATAGAACTAGTACACAAAGTGATAAACACATTTACTGCCGTGTAACATATATATCAGAAGTAGATAATAGGGAAGGAGTGTGACTTCAATAAACAAGGGAAATTCGTTATTTACTAGCCTTAGAATACCTACGATTTACTACGCGTAACTCAACCAACTAGAGCTCAAATCGTACACAGTACATTCGCCTAGCATCGCGCAAAATCGTTTCCTCGTATACACCCGCAATCCGGAGATAGACTAAAACGTACGACACGATTCTCCATTCTGTTGCCAGCAAATCGACTCCATAACCTGCCTAACTTGAAACAATAGGCAGCTACTAACGACTCTTGTGCACTCTTGTGCCCTCGGCAATGCAGTGTGGCTCGCTGGGAGATTGGACATCGATGCAACACTCGGCGAGCTAATCTTTGACCTATTTACAGCTGGTATGCCCCCCACGCACGCACGCCCACCGCAATCAGCAGCAGCTCCAGCTCCAATCTCCCAGCGAGCCACACCGCATCGCCGAAGGTGCAAGAGTGCGCAAGAGTCGTTAGTAGCTGCCTATTGTTTCAAGTTAGGCGGGTCATGGAGTCGATTTGCTGCCAACAGAATGGAGAATCGTTTCGTACGTTTTAGTCTGTATCTCAGGATTGCGGGTGTATACGAGGAAACGATTTCGCACGATGCTAGGCGAATGTACTGTGTACAGTTTGAGCTCAAGTTGGTTGAGTTACGCGTAGTAAATCGTAGGTATTCTAAGGCTAGTAAATGACGAATTTCCCATGTTTATTGAAGTCACACTCCTTCCCTATTATCTACTTCTGATATATATGTATCATTGAAATTATATTTGATTTCTTTTGCAGTCAGCACTGTTCAATTTTGAAAGCTTACTAACTGTGCTTTTGTTGCTCATCTGTACATGCACCTACCTAAGGTCACTGACTCCAAGTCTCATTGACCGAAACAAAGAAGGGTAAGAACCTTACGATTTTTGTATAGTGACAAAACTAGAAACAAAAAAGCCCACATTACTATATTTTATATTCATACCCTTTTTCCTGTCTAACTTTGGAGTCTATGTTTGGTAACCCATGACAAATAGCTAAAGTAAATAAAAGAGATTGGGTACACTAAATGTCAGTTTTGTGTAACTTGCAATTTTTGCAGCCCTAAACACATATAAATAATACTTCATGCAAAATGTATACATGTATTAAATAGTGAAGCATAATGCTAAAATTGAACAAATACTGTGTTTCAGGTTTCTTGGTGTTTTCTGGAAGTGCGCTCGAATAGGAGAAAGGAAGAGTCCCTACGTTGCATTCTGCTGCGTTTGCATGGCCGTTAGTATTTTGTTCTGGCAGTAAAAATTGAACTGGTGCACTATCGCAGTTTCGTCGCAGAGAGAGACTGGCCAAGCAAGACTGAGATGTCTGGAAACTAGAGAGACTGCCCAAGTCGACATTTCCAAGATGGCTTTAGTGAGCGCGGGTGGGGTCTTGGCGTCCGCGTGGATTCCGTTTGCCGTGGTGCTTGTGCTGCTGCTGATCTTCTCCTGTCTGTACGTGCGCTACTACCGCAGCAGCTACGACAGCGAGCTGAGCTCGACGCTGACGGCGATCCTCGGCCTGTTTGTCGCCCTGCTCACCGGCGCCCTCGTTCCCGTCGACGTCTTCCTCGTCTCGTACATGAAGGACGCCGACGGCGGCTTCAAGCCGTGGGCGGCCGACAACGGGACGCGCGCGGCGGTGCAGGACGGCGTGCTCTACACGTACTACGCGCTCTACCTGTGCATCGTCGCGCTCGCGTTCCTCCTCATGCCCCTCGTCTACTTCTACTACGAGGAGAAGGACGACGACGCGGAGACGCCGTGCCACGTGCGCCTCTGCGGCGCGTGCAAGTACGCGATCGCGTTCGTCATCGTCGCCGCCATACTGCTCGTCGTCGGCGTGTTCGTGCCGTGGCGGGCGCCGCCCGGCGACCGCGGCGCCACCGAGTGGCAGCGTCTCGAGCTGCTCTTCCACAACTTTGCGGCGACGCGCGGCGAGGACGCGGCGGCGTTCGTCGTCGGCGCGCTCAGCCTCGTCGGCTTCGTGCTGATGCTCGTCTACACGGCGTACGGCCTCTCGGCGTGGCCCGTCGCGCTCGTCAAGGGCTCGCGGAGCGCGCGCGCCGAGCTGGCGGACGCCGTCGACGAGCGCGCACAGATGCAGGCCGAGGCCGCCGCGATACGCGAGAAGTACGCAGACGGGCGCCGCATGACGTCGCGCGACCGCGACCGGCTGCACGAGCTCGAGGAGAGCGAACGTCTAACGCGGCGGCGTGTCGGCCGCCTCGCCGAAGCCGCGGCCGGCGGCTGCGCGAGCGGGTTTTCGGCGGTGCTGCGGCCGCTGCAGGTCGTCGCCGGCTTCCTGCTCATCATCTTCGCGTTCCTGATCGTCCTCGGCATCGTGCTGACGAACGTCGACCGGCTGCTGCACTCGGAGGGCGCGAGCACGGGGTACGCGCTCGCGCGGCCGCGCATTCCCAACCCGCTCGACATCGTCTTCCTCTTCTGCCAGAAGGTGTTCCCGATCGACTACGTCGTCTTCGGCGTGCTCGTCATGTTCTTCCTGCTGGCGACGATGGAGGCGCTGCGTCAGATGGGCATCTGGTTCCTCTGGCTGCGCCTGTACAAGATCCGGCCGCACAGGACGCCGCCGCAGGGCCTGCTGCTCACCTGCGTCATCCTCATGTTCGTCGTGCTGACGCTCAATGTCGTCATCTACTCGATCGCGCCGCAGTACATGACGTTCGGCAACCAGCACTACGTCGACTACGGTCGCAACGCCACGACGACAACAACAACAACAACAACAACAACAACAACAACAACAACAACAACAGCAGCAACAACGTTTATGTCTAAGACGGCAACGGGCGAAGCGGGTGGAATGGACAGTAACAGTAGCGCACCCGATTGGTTTGCCATCGCACATCAGAACGCAGAGGACACCGTGGCTTCAACGCCATTGGTAATCAGAGAGCTTCGTTCGTGCAGCCTCGATGCTCCATCCGACGAGTGCGTAATGACGAGGATATCCGTGCTGTTGCTGCGCTTCTTCTATAAAGCTTGGTTCTTCGGCGCCTGTTACTTTTGGGGCAGTTGGGCCTTTGTCGCCATCTTCCTGATAGGTTTGGTCATCGCTGTCATCAAGCGACCGGAATCGGCGATCACCGGCGAAGTTGATGGCGACGATTTCGAAGAAAGCGATGAAGAACTTCTGTCACCGTGAGCTGCTTAATTTTAACTACCGACATCGACAAAAAGCCCACGAGCATTTCTGTCAGATATTTGGGTTCTGCTTTCCCATTTAGCAGCTAGCTGTATGCGTTTGACTTGGATTTCGTTGAGTATATGTTACAGCACGGCCTCTGCCAAGCTGTTAAAGAGAAAAGGGAGTTTGCCCCATCAAATCCCATCGTAGGATTTCCCTTGCTATGGTTGCTTAAGGGCCCATTTGTTTGAAATGGATCGTTCGTCAGATTTGGATCATTTCTTACTGATCTGCCCAAAATTGTTACAAATGCACTTCCATGAGGTCATCTGTCATTGTGACCTATCACAGGATGGTTCATAAGTAGCAGTGATTTGCTGAGTCACATACTACTATATATTGGATCTACCATGCATCCATCTTGCCAGCAGGATCAACAATTCGTGATCTGGATCAGTGATCTACGCAAACTTGCACTGGATCATTGGATTGGCTCAAACAACCGCATCCTATATAATGTTTACAACTACAATATTAACAGATCAAAATGAATTCGATTGCATATATCATAACTGCTAACTGTTTCACATGCATGCTTTTTTAGCATGTAAACCTGAAGTTCAAATTGTTTTATAATTGCAATTCTGCTGAGCTCTTAGCACTATGTATTATTATCATAGAAAATATAGAAATAGTTCGAATGACAGTTTTATATAATAACATATATATGGATCTGCAGTATGTTACAAGATGATTTTAGCTATATGAAAAGTATTACGATTATTGTGCATATATTTTGGTGACTAGGGTTCTGTACCTGTGTTGTCATATTGTGTTACAAAATGATTAATTTGAAATATAAATTGATGAGTAAAAAATGAAGGACATTGAAATATGTAAGGAAAATAAGAAACTGGTGATTTCACTTTTTAATATATTAATTTAATTATTAATGAAACGACACTGCTTATTATTGTGAAAAAATTTAAGTTGTTTTTTGTGGAATATATTGAGAGAGAAAAGAAATGATTCTGTGCAAACAATGTTTCATCATTCAGTCTTTGTTTACAATGTAGTACAAACTTCAAAACGTCGTGACCCAAACATACATTATGAATATAAATATTAAATTCATTATTGTTTCATATATCCACCCCTCCTACACATAATTTGTAAGGTATCAATTTCTGATGTATGCAACTGCTGGAATTTTGGGACCAACAAGGTTTGGGTAATGCAATTAACATTTCATAAAAAATACAGAATTAAAATGACTTTCCAGAATGATTTAGCTTGAACATATTTCGTACATGTATGTAGACATGCAGACATAAATAAACTAAAAATGAAAGATGTCTCTATATACACTATACTTATCTATATCTAATATTCCATCTACAACCATGCACATCTAATTACACCTATGTATTATAGAATATTTATGGTGGATTAAGCCGATGCTTCTACATTGCAACCTAGCAATATTAAACTATAATGTATCTGTATAATAAACCAAATATTTATCTTGAATCATATTAGGAACAGCCAATATCATAGATACAGAACAAAAACCTGGAACAATCAAGGGAAAAGGAACAGAAGACCTGTAGGCTGGACAAAAGTTGTGGAGGTGGAACTGAAGGAAACCATCCTGGAAAGAAATAAAGACAACAATGCAACGTTTTCTACATAGTCATGTTCCCTTAGGAGCAAAACGTACGTTAATGGGAACAAATGCTTTTGTTACGATTACCACGTGTATATATGAATACAAGTACAACAAAGAAAAGACATACTTTCTAGCGTCGTTGCAGCTATCATTTTATTTTTTAAACAGTAAATTCTACCTATATACATTGACTTGTCTAAGCAAAGCAACTACTACTAGTAACGAGTAACAGTACACGGGCTGGCAAACCCATATCATGCCAGGACCAAAAAAATAGAAATAAAATCATTTAGATTGCATCACCAATAGAAATAATATACAGATAGTTTATCTACATATTTCTTTAACAACACCGGTTTAAATATAAATTGTTACAGCAGTACATGCACAAGACATGCAATGGAGGGATTGAAATCATCAATAATTGAAACAATCACACGTACGTTTATAACCAACCTGTTTCTCTTGAAGGCATAGCTCACCACCTTCTTTCACAAGACTTATCTATATGGATGAGTTGTGGATGTATTATATCATGTTCATATAGAGTAAATATTAGACAAGTGATACTTCATAGAACTAATCTTGGAGGGATTATACATTCACTGGGCGGAGAAATAAATTACGAATACAGTATATTAGTAAGATTAACCAACTAGCACTGACTGATATGACTTGGATACTTTAGATATCATTATAACAATAGAAATGTAGTATGCTATGATATGTGGAGCAATGGGCAATAAGGGTATGAAATAACCCACCTTAATTGGTTCCAAGAAAACTGAGCAAGGTCAAGAAAGTGAAAAATAGACAGAAGCAGTATTGCTAGTAGCAGTCGACAGAATCAGCATTTTAACTAAAATGTGCTCCCTGCCTATGTGTTACATTAGACAGAAACTAATTGGACATATAGAATATACTACATAGTTAATCTAGCGTATATTTAGCTAGGAAGGTACTGCATGTAGTTAACAACCATTTACGTGAACAGAAATAGTAAACAGCAAGTTCCAGTATGTAAAGTAAAATCCTAATGATTATATGTGGGGGATTTAATTAATTTTAATAAATATGCTTACAGCTTTATATATGCAGAAGTTTAATGAAAAAAAATTAAGTAAGGGGATTATTATTTAGATCTTTGCATTAAATTGCATTAAATTTCCTAAATTCTAGTTTCCCCTAAATAGTGAAAAAGCTTTACACCATGTCCTGCCGTACAACATTTCTGACCCTGCATAAAGTCCCTTCTTAGTGCATCTCAATAACATATAGCAGAGATTTGTACTGTCTATCTATCTATATTCATATACATATATATCACACAGAAATAGCTGAATATAATAACTGGAATATGTTGATCAGGTCTTGATACAACAATAGGTTATATAAAGCATATATAGTACTCTCCTGAATCGTTTTTTTTTATAAGAACAACCCTGTGCGAATTATACTACTGAATCTTTTTCATGGTTTTTCTGAATTAAATAATAAAATTTGAGCAGAGATAACACCAAGAATAAAGCAATCATAGAAAAGCATCATCAGGACAATAACCTCCAAGCGGGAGAAGTAGGGTCAATGGTGCAGCTAGATTGTGGAGAAAAATAAAAGAACTAAAATAAATAACGAAGCAAAGATACTATGTCCGATCGATATCCCTATACAGCCTATAATTCTGTTCAACATGTGATACATTTCTTGAAACTTGAAATTTAGACACGCCCCTGAAAAATATATTAACCTAATAAACCTACTTACCCCCTTATAAACCTAACCTATAACATAACCATTAATCCTACTCCTACTCCTAATGGAGTATCACCCAGAATACGAGTCTAATCGCAAAGTACAATATAGTGCACTAAAAGGTAAAATTACGCTTTGATCAAAGTAAACTATTATATTTAAGTTATTCAATTCATAAATTAAAAACCCTGTACTAGTATATCTAGTCATATGATGACTTATGCAGACATTGTTGAATTATATGTAATAATATCAGGAGTCTATCAATAGATAGACAATCTCAAGACATAGATAGACATATCAATATTGAGACTCCTGATAATATCTATTAGTACATTTTTTTAGGCTGCCATACCACAATCTTACAGTAATAAAATTTTATCGTCACATTATTCTCAAATTTTGTAAAAACAAATTAGATAATCATATTTTAAGTCCATGTCAATTTTTCAACGAGCATGAGCAAAACTGTGTGAAGAAAAAACATAGATTTTGTAATTAATTGATCATTACACATTGGAAAACCAAAAATATCGCATTCCAAATTCATCATCTCCCTTAATAATCCTATTATAATAACGCAAGATACACTAGATTTACGACATCACATGATCACAAGAGTGATTTGTGCATAAAAATCACATATGTTTTTGCGAACGGTTTATATCTCTTTGAAACTATCTAAAATTTTATCTTTATTTATTTTTTTAGTTATTCTAGCATTCCAGGACACCAACATGTCCAACTATGATAATTTACCAAAGTGCATGCCAAACAATTAATCACAATTATTTTCTTGCTTGAAAACATTTTTAGATGGTTATGACAGATTCGGCAGTGAGTAACGGTTATTGAATCATCTTACTTGAGTGGATGTGCAGTTTTCTTGATATCACAAAATAATTGGGTCACCTTTAATTAAAGAATTAATATGTTAAAATGTTTTGTAAACTACAAAACTCAACATTATAGGATGCTGCTTTATATGATCCCATCAAGACAATGATACGAAATTTTTTAGGAAACTCATATTACAATTTGATACACTGAATAAATAGAACGGTAATAGGTTATCCTTGTACACTACAACTGGCACCAAGGTCACAACAAACCTTGTTTCCAACTTGTTCAACTTTCAACATTTTCAACTTGTTTACGTATTATTGCAATGCATGTATAGTGCATTACCTATCACGGCACATCACTCTGTTGACCAGTACTCTGTGTGGGTGGCTTCACTGCTGCATTTCCCAGCTCCATCTTCTGCACGCGTCTCAGAGCAGCATGAATTCTTACGTTAAGTCGATTCTCAAAGTCATAGTCACATAGCTGCGTCTGAAATCACACGAAAACAGCAGAGTCTGTACTAACGCAAACACCCACGTCATGTGTCCCGTAATTATGTTGACTTTTTTTTTTAAACATCAATATTTGAAAACCTCAAAAATATTTACCTTCGATGTATAATAATACCAGAAACAAGCTAATACATGGGTGTGTACCTGCATGTGCATGTGCGTACGCACGTATTACCTCACTCTGATAATAGCTTAAAGGGACAGTAGACTCTAGGATTTTACTGCATACAACTGTACTTACTGTATAACAAATCGTCTATACCCACATGTATTTGTCACCAGATACTTAATTAATTATTTACACATCAACGCTACGAAATTTGAACGGCGCCATGACACCCGCGACCGTGCTGCCACCCTGAAAAAGTTGCGTATTTGCATTTGCATTTTGCAGGTAAATGACCGAGGGCTAATCACAAAAGTGCAATTATATTTATACCTAAATGCTATTTAACCGAACGATATTCATTTTAGGGCAAATTTATCCATATTATAACTGAAACTATATGTCGTTTATAAGATATTACAATCCTTTTGCTTTTAAATGAATAAATAAGAAATACCCTCGGCCTGTAGCCCTTGGCTAGAAAGTGGTTTTGCGCAACTTCTCAGATCGTGCGCTTTGAGTGGCGCCACCGTCGTTGTAATCAAACTGTAGTCGTTAGTTTTAAAACATTAAAAAAAAATATTTCTAATGGTGATTGAACCATGAAACTTTTTATGTAGCGCAATTATAACCTAAATTAGCTGAAAATAACCCTAGAACCTAGAGGCTACTGTTCCTTTAACTGAGTTTAACATCATGTACATCACAATGAAATAAATCTACAGAAAGTTGCAAAAATACACAAACGTTCAATATAATATTGCTACTAAAATAATCATTCTTATTACAAATAACTCCCCCATTATTAGAAGATTGATACTGATATTAATAAGTAAAGGTTACCTTTGCATGAAGCAGTAAAGCTTTGCCCTTTGGTGCAGTCTACAAAGCAGATTAGAATAAACATTTCAATATTCACTCATTTCATATATCATCTAAGCAATGTCATTATCATGATTACTATAATGATAATAAATATATGCAATTAAGATATTATATAAGGAGTATACTTACTAATGAACACATTGATGTTCATATAATCCATTAAATCTGTAAAGCATTCATTCATGTAAAAGAAATTAACACACCTCCGAGCTTCTAATCAGCAAACATCCAAACTCATACATAGCAAATGCTTGAACATGCAAATCTTCCGTCTGGCCTTGACATCGTTGTAAGCATTCTTCAAAACACTAAAAAGAAAATAGAGAGGAAGTGAGAGAGGTTATGAGCATGGCTTTATGTTTGCACAATCACTAAATGCTGATATCATGTATTCATGTATACAAATTACATATAATCAATAATTAATAACACCTATGTATTATTAGCTCTTGATATAATATATAGTGGCCTCAAAATTTTATATGGTTTCACTTCCCTTAACTATACCCTCATTACATGTAAGTATATACAGTAAGTATGATAGTGTATACATGTAGTAGCATTGTAATAAGTAAATGTGACAAGTGTATATTTAAAAAATTCATGGCTTTAAAAATTAAAAAGATTAATATCGATTTAAAGCACGAATACATGCAAGAATATTAGAGAAGCATCAGTCTTCATAACAGTTATCCTATCACCCAGAAAAGAACATATAGTATTATAGAATCTGTCAGTTGTACAACCTCCACTGCTTTGCTGTAGTTCTTCAACTGTGTGTGCGTAGAGCCCTCTATCAGACGAGTCAGGGGAATCAGGGCATCTTCATGCTGCTTGCTGCACTCTGCACATGAATTCACAAGATTCCATTCTTGCTCTCTGCACAGTATTTGCTGCAGCTGTGATTTGCCGCGTGTTCACGAACTGCATTGCTGAGATAACGTTCAATCTCCAATGTGTGAAATAACGGTTTACCTGCACAGACACATGAACACACATGCATGCACGCACGCACACTTATAAGATTAAAGATGGGCTATGTGTATGGCTGGTGGCAGCTTAATTGCTAACCTTCAAGAATACGATGCAACTCTGGCTTCCCACAAGTTGGCAACGCGTTCCACAAGAACAGTAGCTCTAGTCCGAGGAGAATAGCATGCTCTGGGGTAGGTGGCGCTTGCAAACTCACAAACTTCTCAGCCTGTAAGAAATGCAGTAGAGTATACTCGTATACGTTGGCAGTATGACGTTGGGCCAACGTTGGCAATATGACGTTGGGCCAACGTTGGCAATATGACGTTGGGCCAACGTTGGCAATATGACGTTGGGCCAACGTCGGCTTCCAACATTGGGCCAACGTCCACTCAACGAGCAAAAATCCGTTGGGCCAACGTTGGCAGCCAACGTTGGCCCAACGTTGGCATGGGCTGAAGACAGCCGTTGGGCCAACGTTGGCCCAACGTCAGCATGTTATTTGGGTATATATCCATTGAGATATATATAGAAGCATGTGTAAACTGAACACAGTGACATGTCATCCATCACCATCAGACAGAATATGAGACATATCTATAGAAATCAACATGAAAACCAAGGGGTCTGGAACACAATAAATAGTTATGTCATCATGACTGAAATATCATGTGTATAAAAGTAAAGTACTGTGCAAGAGTGTTTTTTTTCAAATTATGACAGTCATAACTATTAATGATATTTCTGACAACAGGCCACTTAGTTACAGTTTACAGTTATCAGTCAGAGAGTTAAGAGAGTTTACGTTTAAAATTCATCATGTCATGAGGGTGGAAAAATTAGAAATGAAAGAATTACTATATTTTAGGTGCGATCACAGAAACAGACTCATATCAGCTACATTCTTCTTGAAAAAAACAGAATCAAAGAGAGTGGAACTGAATTCTGGTGGCAGTAAGAAAGTTAAAAACTCAATCAGTCAAGTGGACCCTCTACACTTCATTTGAACTCTGCCCGAACAAGAATCATGAGCAGAGGCAGCATGCACACTGCAACACAGTACGAGTTATACGCACGCACGCACGCACGCACGCACACATGCATGTAGCTTACCCTGCGTCCAACAAATATCTCTATCTGGTAATTCTTGCGTTTGACGAGCCGAGGAACATCACAGAAGACTTTGTAGCATTCTTCAGAGTGGCCAAGAGCACCGAGACATATTGCGGCTAGATATGCATAGTAGCACTGCGACCAACGTGACTCCAACCTTAACCTGCAGGCAAGCATAGGAGGAATTCATCACAGAACTCTGGTGGAAATGCCCTTGTTCTATCCCCTAAATCACACAAAAAATGACAAAACTCTGCTTTACTGAGATAAGATAAGTGTATCCCTTCGTTCTATGATTCAAATCACTGAACTGTGGCAATACCCTGCTTTACTAAGACAATGTGAGTGTACGCCTTTGTTCCATACCTTAAATCATGAAACATTGGCAATATTCTGCTTTACTGAGACAAGTTGATTACACATCTTGTGCCACGCCTCAATAATCGTGCCTGCTAGTTTCCTAAACATCCAGCATAATGTCTTACAAGTATGTGATTAGTTCTTATGATGTACAAGCATTTCAATCTTTGTGAACACACAATTAACTTACCTTAGAAATGCTGACTTTGCCTCTATCCAGTTCAGCTGCAGTAAGTTGCACCAACCTAGAAGAAATATAATTGTGATGTTTAGTAATCATAATGATAATTATGAGTGAAAACCAGCGCCTACTCATATTTACGCTAAATGAAAAATTTCACAGTAAATAGTAGTTTCCTTTAGATATAAATCAAATTTAAATTTTGTTATAATTAAGTTCCTGGTTTGAAATGTAAGATAATTGGTGCTATTACTATTTTATATGATGCACTACTTACCTATCTCATACAAACAAATCAATTGTATTTCTCTTTGGTCCTTTGTAGCTGCTAGGGCCTTGTGGTATGCAGCGAGTGCTTCGGATATTTTGCACTGTGGATAAAAACGGCAGTCAAAACATATGGCATACATATAGACTATATACATTTGTTCATGCTTTACGCATATACTACTTACTAGTAATAGTGTAATGGCAAACGTGCTATTGTTTAAATTGGTATCTGTGTATATCTAGCATACTAAGCAGTAATATATGTTACGTTTTCAAGGGGTATAATGTAAACATATTATGTCTGGAGATCAAACTTAGCGTTTAAATCAAACCTTGCACTATGCTTGATTATTGGCTTATTACTATGGCAAATGCTACTGAGCACTCTGCTACCCAAACTGCAAAGAATCAATAGCAGTACATGAACACATGCAGAGTTCTCATCAGGTGATTAACGCATGTCGAGTTTGACATGCCTTCAAATCGAAAGCTAATTTGTGACATGCAATAAAACCTCTGACATGCGTTAATTGCCTAAGCAGCCTTAAATGTCCAGTTGATTTTTTTTCATTAACAAGTGCCGCGGAGCGACAGCGCTCATCTAACGTCTACTGCGGTGACTCTGTGGTGGAGTGGTGGGATTCTAGTAAACCCTGTTAGTCCCAAATGTGTTCACAATACACGGCCGAAACAGTGGAATGCACAGGATGGTATTCAAGGGAACCTTCAAGGAATGTTCCGTGGATCGTTATGAAAGTGTCCACGAGATGCGCGTACGTTTAAGTGTCTTCAGATTAAAGATGCGAAGCTCCCATCGTCAGCGTATGTGAGCTACAATATTTGCAAGCACAGAATAGGCTAAGCCTCATCCAGTTCACCTACGCAAGCCTACCAGGCTGCAAAGAGAGCTGCCCGTACCTGTAACGCAATTAACGCAGGCAAAAACTACACAGTATCACCAAACACATGACTGGGCAGTACCCACTGCAGTGGCATATCGTTACATGTAACAATACTGACAGTAACATAATGCCATAGAATATACGATTTAAGGAGCATAAACCTTCTTAAACCAATATTTTAGCTTTTTCGAAATTTCACTGTGACATTGTAGGCGCTCATACATCCAGGCATGTATAAGGATTATCTACTAAGCAACCGGCAGTCCAAATTCTTTCAACAGACAGTCAACAAATCATGTTTATACCCTCCTCTTGAGGGTCCAAAAGTGTTATCTGACACTTACTCTTCGCATGATCAGCAGAAGTAGAATTTCATGGTCCTTTCAATAATGCCAATAAAATGCTAGGTCAACCGGTAAACCAAAAAATTTTTTTTCAATCGCGTCTGTCGCCATGTCCTCAAAGAAAATATATAAATCTTGCCTGTGCCCATTTGAACCTTTGACTCTGATGACCTTTAAATTTCGGCACAGTGATGCATTTTCCTACATGATCCATACAACCCAACTATCACGAGCCTAGGTCGAGGCCGTTTAAGATTTATTGCGTCAATTCGCATTATCCCTCCATACCTTAAAGTTAAGGGAGTGAATGTTCCCCCTTCTTTTACACTCTTGACCTTTGACTACTGCCCCCAGTCTTTCGACATCCCAACTCGTTTGACGATCCCCCCCAATGTGCCCGAATATCCGTTGACGCGTACTCGACGCCCTTAAAGATATTGTGCCAACTGTTGACAGACGGACGGACGGACGGACGGACGGACGGACGGACAGACAATCATGCGATTCTACAAGCTGCATCTGACTATGTCAGATGAGCTAAAAATTCATCAGTAGGCATGACGGCTAAATTTGACATGTTGATAATATAACCAAACAGCTATAACCTACCTTTAGCCTCAAAACCCTGCCATGAAAGAACAGAAATAGGGCTGAGTTAGGATATGTGTGTGCCGTATTTTTCAGAATTGCCATAGCTTCAGAGACCCCAGCCTCTATATTCACGCCATCTAGTGAGAAGAATGGTCGCACGACAGTGTGATACCACAGGAGCGCTAGCCTGAAAACAGGAGCAATAGTAAATATTACAGAACAGAACAATAATGTCTGTTTGTTGTCAAGTATTATATTGTGCTCTTTACTAAAAAAAATTCTATTTTTGGGGAAATTTACAAATATGTATGAATGCATTCGTAAACATATTTAAACACGGGTCATGTACGCATTATTGTGGGAACAGAAAAGGGGGAATTTAGTGTAATCATTACTGTTATTATTGCAGATTATTATAACAGAAATCAGCCCTTACATAGCTAGTGGTGCTTTCATGTCACGGCTTTTGCTGGCTAAGATCAATGCATCCAAACCTATATCCCTGTCTCCTTCAAAGCCAAGGAACTGTATAACCCTGTAACACATAAATATTAATGTCTAATTAATTGGTTAACGACAAATGTTTGGTTAATAATACATAGGTGCATGCTAAATTACGCGCCGTTGCCTGTAGAATTCTCTGTGCTTTACACAATCCACAGCACTCCATATCACTAATGAACGTTAGTACCAGCTGAATGTAAGTAGGTTGTTATTTCTATCTTGCTACAGCAGAACTACAGGTTCTTAAGGATTTAGCAGTACCTGAGTAGGTTGGGTGGCATGAGAGATACACAGAGCTGGAACACTCCGAAGCCAAAGCTGACCGATCCCATTAGTCGATCCAGTACATCCTGAGATGGAATCTCAGCTCTGTTGCGGATAAAAAAAACAGGAGTACAATAACAACAGCAATGGAAAAATGAAAATAAACTAGAGCAAATTAAACAGGAGTACATTATTAAATTACTTCCAATGAAAACAACACGCATCAACAACTCAAATCTCAGTGCTGTGCAGCTGTTTTTAGCTTCACATTCGGTTCACTTACACGTCTTGAAGCACCGGTGCGGAGATAGTACGAGTCAGACTGTCCTGCTTGCTGCCGTGGCTGCCAAAATTCCCGCCCTGACTGTGCCGGGGAGAGATGGGTCGCGAGTACCTATCATGCAGGTCCTATAAAAATACACAATTAAATTACACAACTTTCAGCTTTGCACACCCTGCTTGCATTCTGCTGCATCTAAAAGAATATCAATCTGCAATGTGGCCCAGTTAACAGTTTTACAGAGTTGCATTAAAACAATAGGCAATACCATTTGATTTTAATGATGACATTGCTTCACAGGTATATTATAAATGCAACCAGTTATACACAGGTTATTGTTAAACTAACCCATTATTATTTGTTATAAGTTATAACAAGAAAAGTGTTGCTTTTGGTTTAATCAGAAATTTCAGAAAACCACATCAAGTAAAGAGGGCAAGATTAGCACTTGCTATCAGTGCTATAATGAAACTAGAGCCCATTATACGGGTGATGTACTTTAAAAAATTATCTTTCAAACAATTTATGTGGATACAGCACACTCATGCATGCATGTATGCACACACAAGCGCACGCACGCACGCACGCACGCACGCACACACACACACAACACACATGCACGCATGCACGCACACACATGGACATATACACACAGACAAAGGTAAAAGATGCACACTGCAGCTCTTCTCAGTCAATCCGCATGGAAATTACCTGAATCTCCTTGTAGGCCTTCTCGTATATTTTCCAGGCACGTCTCAGGATCCATCCGCCGCGCAGATACCCGGATAGCTCCTGGTTAACGAATGTGAGAATCGCCTGGTAGAGCTGGCAGTCCGCGATTATCACTTGTTTCTGTAGGCGATCCTCCAAGCTGGAAGCTGACTCGTGCTGCGAACCACGTCGGAAAGAGGATTATGCTGACAGGGTGACACTAAGTACGAGATATCACACTAGCACACTGCATACGAAGTGTCACAAAGTTACACACTGAATTAGACATCATAGGTGGTTATTCACATTGCATGAGATAACAATTGTCCATACTCTGTATGAGCATTGTATATACACTTCATATATACAGTACATAAGCACGTACATGTATATTTTGCTGCATGGTACCATCGCAGTTACACTGTATTGGGGCAAGGGAAAGTTACAAACACATGCAAATACTAATTTATTAAACTATTTCAAAATCACAGGCCCTGTCCCTGTATACCAGCTTGCTGAGACAAGAATGGATTATTCAAAATAGAGAAGGGTGCACAAAGCAAGCGGCTTTCAGGGCAACAGTTTATATGCCTAATGAGTAAAACAACAAATTTATAAACACATATATAGCTAAATATTTGAATACTATTATTATTATTATTATTATTATTATACATGCTCCATAAAGACTATAGGCAGTTTAGATGCACTTTTATTGTCGTACTAGCGGGATACCCGACGTTGCCCGGGGAAATCAGTGGCGTTACTCAGTTGGTGACCACTTGGTTGAAAGGAAACTACCCAAAAAATTCTAACTATCTATCTATCCATGCATCAATCCATCCATCCCATCGCACCGCATCCCATATCCCATCCCATCCCATCTCATCGCATGCCATGCCATCGCACCCCATCCCATGCCATGCCATGCCATCGCATGCCATCCCATGCCATCGCACCCTATCCCATCCCATCCCATGCCATGTCATCGCATGCCATCCCATGCCATCCCATCCCAAACAGTAAAAAATAATAAGAAATCAAAAGATAAAAGACATTAAAAATTAAAAATTAATAGTAAAAAGTAAAAAGTAAAAAATTAAAAATAATACATACTAAAGAGGTAAGTAAAGGAAAAAAAAGGAAAAAAGGGGCAAATAAGTTCCCCAGCTGGGACTCAAACTCGGAATCCCGGTGTAGGAGACGGATGTTATAGCAATTAGGCCACTGCACCGTTAAGGGTATACACCATGGATTCACATGTACGTGATGTTAATCTGTACACACCACCATCTATTGATGAATAGAATTTTTATCAATTTTTTACTTTTTAACTTTTTTAAATTTTTGTTTCAGCCAGAACCACCGCCCAGACGTGCTGATTCTGAAAATATCTTTAGTTTTCCTCTAGGCTGCGGAGTTCTCTAGTTATGCGAGTACGGACTAATTCGGCTGAAGAACTTTATATATATAGATTTTCCTCTAGGCTGCGGAGTTCTCTAGTTATGCGAGTACGGACTAATTCGGCTGAAGAACTTTATATATATCAGGAGTAGATAATAGGGAAGGAGTGTGACATCAATAAACATGGGAAATTCGTCATTTAATAGCCTTATGATACCTACGATTTACTACGCGTAACTCATCCAACTTGAGCTCAAATCGTACACAGTACATTCGCCTAGCATCGTGCGAAATCGTTTCCTCGTTTACACAAGCAATCCGGAGATACAGACTAAAACGTACGACACGACTTTCCATTCTTTGGCCATCAATCCAAGTGCATTGTCCGCCTCTATTAAAACAAAGGGCAGCTATACTGACGCGCTGTTGCTGTGCTTGCTCATCGGAATGTGGAATGTGGCTCGCGGGGAGATTGCGTCGCTGCACGGCTACAGGCTACAGCATACAGACTACAGTAGCACTCGCCCGTTGCGTCTATGGTTTCGCCAATGTCCAATCTCCCCGCGAGCCACACCGGATTGCTTGTGTAAACAAGGAAACGATTTCGCACGATGCTAGGCGAATGTACTGTGTACGATTTGAGCTCAAGTTGGATGAGTTACGCGTAGTAAATCGTAGGTATTATAAGGCTAGTAAATGACGAATTTCCCTTGTTTATTGATGTCACACTCCTTCCCTATTATCTACTCCTGATATATATAGATAGTGGAAAAATCTGTCCCAGAGTGGTTACCGGAGATCGACGCATGACCCTGTTCTTGAATGCCTTCATGAATCCGTCCTGACTCTGCATGCATTGTCTCTCCGTGTGTCGCAGGGACATCGCTGCCTGCTCCATCTGCTCCTCCTCAAAAGTCATGAGTGCATGCTGTAAGTGTAATGGGTAAACACTGGTTTATCACAGTTAAATTATTTGACACTAGTAATATCATGAACATATATATGTATTTTTGTCTGAGTATGGTCAGGATAGTATCGATACTGCCACGACTGCAATACTATTATCGCAATTCGTTTTAGTTTTGAAAAACAAATATTCGCAAGGATACGTCATTACAGTAGGTTATCGTTATAATTAATTCCTTACCAAGAACTTGACAAAACTTGCTCCAACACTCATCAATGGACTTCTTTGTCTGAACATATAACAGAACATCATAGTTGTTACTGGTAATGCTAATATCTATATACACTTTACACGCACGCACGCACGCATGCACACACACACACACATCCTCATGCACGCAGAGCGCACACACATACATACATTGGTCAGCATTCTTATTTCAATTTTTCGCCCTCCACATCAGGTATGCGGCGTATGCCTATGTCCTAAACAAGCTTTTGAACTCAAAATTATTACGCAGTCACGGCAGTGGCTGGAGGTACGGTAGCCGTCGGTCGTTGAAGCCCCTTTTTGGCGTTAGGGTTAGGATTAGGGTTAGGATTAGGGTTAGGTTTAGGGTTATGGTTAGGGTTAGGGTTCTAGCTCATCTAAACTCTCAAATCGTGAATTTATTTCCCAAGGCGTTATTTCGAAATCTGGCGCCACCACCGCCATCGTTGTCTCGTTAAGTATGAAAGCGAATGGACTCCCGTACCCGTAGCCTCGAGACATTAAGATACAGCTACCGTACCCGTAGCCACTGCCAAATTATTATGGTGAAAGTAGGAATATCTAAGATTCTTTATCACAAAGCCATATAATATGCAGTGTACACTGTACCAGTAGGCAGTACATCGTGGTTCTGGTGTGGTTAAATACATCTGAGCTACCGTATACATTCATTCGGCGCAAATCCACTTTAGGCACCTTAGGTATCACGAAGTGATGCACAGATTTCTGTGTATCATCAACTGATGCACAAACTTTCCGTATATCAAGGAATGATGCAAAAACCCTAACCCTAACCCTAAGTCATAAAGTATAACCTTACTCCTTAGGTATCACGAAGTGTGTTACTGTTCGGGTTAGGGTTGGGGTTAGGGTTAGGTTTTTTGCATCATTCCTTGATGTACGGAAATTCTGTGCATCAGTTGATGATACACAGAAATCTGTGCATCACTTCGTGATACCTAAGGTGCCTAAAGTGGATTTGCACCCATTCATTCAACCCTCACCTTAACTGTTAACACAACAGTAGTGAACCTATAATAACCCACTAATAGTAATATAGTAATACAGACGGTAATTTAGCAAAGAAACTAATCATTCATAACAATTAATGAATTATTCAATTAATATATTTACAATACCCACTTGTGCTTATTGAAGAGATCTTCAGACTCTTTGAAGCCATTGTTGAGCATGAGGTTAATACCATGTAGAGCCAATTCAGGATCACTTGGCTCTTGACTAGCATTACTAATGACATCATCATGTATCACAGAAGACGCGCTACAGCCATGACCTTCCACGCACGGATTAATCGTGTTGGAAGAATCGGCGAAAACGACGACACCGACAGTGGCATTAGCATTGGAATCAAATTTACTTGCACTTCCACTGGCACTCATGTTAAATGTAACTATAAACCCTGATTATATCATTGGTTGATATTTGACGTTATTCTTACAGAATGAACATAACTCAACGAGTGTTGAATGCAGTGACACAGACTGTACTCACATGAACGACTAACCTTTATTCCTTATTAAACATTATAATTTATACAACTCGAAATCGCTAAGATGTTGACATTTACTCTAGCCCTATCATGTGGCGCCATCATGTGGCAATTCGCGCACATCTTCGACACGCACAACTTTTTGTCTAATTAATTTTTTTATAAATTAGTTTGATAACGGGAATTAAGGTTGTAAAAAAGATTAACAATAGATTGAAATTTCTTTCCAGAAAAGCTAAGTATTTAAACACGGCATGTAAAAGATTACTAGTTTCTGCCCTAATTCAATGTCACTTCGACTATGCAAGCAGCATAATATTATGGTACAGCAGTCTCACAAAGCGCACAAGGGCTAAGCTGCAAGTGTGTCAAAATAAAGCTATTAGATGTGTTCTCAACCTAGGTTCTAGAGCACACATAGGTGCTAGAGAGTTCAAGGCTGTAAATTGGGTACCTGTAGAGTTTAGGGTAATGCAACTGAAGGTCAATAGGGTTTTTAAAATATTACATAATCTCGGCCCACAGTATATGACAGAAGGTTTCATGTTAACGTCAGAAGTCCATAGTTTCAATACAAGGGAAGGTGAGATGTCTATTTTTAAACCGAGGATGGGAAGCAGTGGGAAAAACTCTTTTACTTATACTGCAATTGACGCTTGGAACTCTCTACCACAGCAAGTTAGGACAAATTCTGTTTATTCTAGTTTTAAGTATAGTGTTAAGAAATGTCTGATGGAAAAGGTAGAATCATTAGAGGCAGAGGAGTATGTTTTTCATTAAAAGAATTCGGTTGAAATTAGGCATAAGAAAAGTTTGTATCGGCTTGTGAAAATGTACCATTGTATGACCTACAAATCTGTATATTTCAATAGTTTGTTCTGATAGTAGTACAATTGTTAGATTCAATTAAGCCGGCATAGCAAAACAAGGACCACAATGTAAATAAGTGTGCTAGTCATGCTTTTTGTGTATATATCCTTGGTAATTATCCAATTTTATGAATTCAAATTTTTATTGTAAAAGTATGCAATGTATTGTATATGATGGATAATTGTCTAAATAAATAAAATAAAAAATAAAAAAACGCGCTACCGATAGCGCGATAAATTCACTATTAGTATTAGGGCAATTTTATTCTACAAAATGTAGTAAGCAGCCATCTTTTGCCCATCTCCCCCGCTGGCTTGAAACTCTATAGCTGCTAACTCCCATGAACCCTTTGCTAGATTTCATGAGATCTTTTGACACAAGGAACCGTGTGCATACTCATACCCCGTGTGTATACCCATGCAGTAAAGACACATAATCTTATCACAAGAAGAAAAAGAAAAAGAAGGAGAATGAGAAGAAAAAAGGAGGGGAGGAGGTTGGGAGCAGGAGGAGGAAAAGAGGAAGAGAATAAGAAGAAGAAGAAAAGAAGAGGAAAAAGAAAAGAAAGAAAGAGGGGGCATGAAAGCAAGAAGAGGAGGAAGAAGAGGACGAAAGAAGAAGAAGAAAAAGAAGAACAAGAACAAGAAGAAAGGTAAGAAAAGATATTAGATTAGCAATACATTTTATTTGAAAGGGGGCATTTAAATTTAAATAATTAATAATAATAATTTAATAAAAAGCGTGGCGCAAACGGAAAAGCTTGTACCGCGCATATATTTCGCCTCAATTGTTGGAATTGGAGTAAATAAATTTCTTGGCCCATATTTACATTTTCCAGTGCATATGCGATACTAGTACGTCATAGGGCGTCATAGGTGTGCTGACGGTGTTTCACTTGGGAGCTGGCATGCACCTTCTGCTGAAAATGCAAATTATGCATTTCAGTATAACATTGAGCTTCGTACGTTACTGCCGCAGCGTTATTGGTGGAAGGCGCGACCATATAACGATGCAGCCGTAGTATGTTGCTAATTATGTGGCTAGACTTGCAACAACCACCTTGAGCAGTGTGCACGAGAAGATTGCACTCCGTAGTTGCGTTTGGAAGAGAAATGGTGAATCCGACACATATCATTAAGAGGTCGAGAGCGAAAGAGAGAGAGAGAGAGAGCGCGTGAGATATGGATGGGGAAGAAGTTAGAGAGCGGTGGAGGAAGGGGAAGAGGAGCACTAGCGAAGCGCATTAAAAGAGAAAAGTATAGACTCACAAGCGTTTAAGTGGTATTGATATAATACACGGACGCTGTAGATAGCGCCAGGTGCCTGACGAGGCAAGGGAGTAATCAATATCATAATTAATATCATATAATATGCTTTCCTCTTGTTAATTGCGACTTGCTAGCTCAACCCTGTATAGTAGCCCTTCTTATATCTGTCGCGCTGACGGTTATATATATTCTCAGGAGTAAGATAATATAGGAAGATATCTCCTATATTATCTTACTCCTGATATTATGCATACGTGGATTGCACATCCGTCGTACAGCCGGCCACCCCTCTAGGTTTACTTGATAATCGCTACGCCCGTAAAGCGTGACTACCATTGGCTTGCGTCTGCGACAGGTATTCATAGCTCCGCCTACTTGTTGCTCTCGCTGCTCCGCACGCGCACTACAACATGTTTAGCCAGCAGTAGCGGCGTCGGACGTACACGTTGTTGCAATGTGCACGCGTTTTCCGAGCAGATAGAACTATTAGAAGATACATTCGGATATAATTACAGTAGTGTGTTTGCATCGCGGATACGTGTTGCTACCAGGATTACGCCGTACGTGGTGCACGCGTGCTTCTTTTCGCGCGAGACTTGGTAAGTTCATTGCATACATCGTGCGATCATGCAGGGAATCTTCGTCTGTGATTGTGCTGTGGTTGTACATCAAGTGCCGAACCCTGAACATTGTGGGTTGTATCGATGCGTGTCACTCGCAGGCCGTACTGCACTGAACGAGTAGTGAACATGTGGTGCAGGTGTTAGTGAAAGACAGAGACTGATATAATACTGTAGTTAACTATATCGTTTAACCATGAGAACGATATTGGGAACACTAGCATATATATGATCTCCGCGATCAGAAATCCTACATAATCATATATATAGCGTACGCGCGTACTGACGATCTGACGTATTCTGTAACATATAATCAGGAGTAAAGTAATGCTGTGTTATGTTACTCCCAGTTATATGAATAGGTACTACAAGTAAATGCAATTAATCTCGTGTTATATTTATTACTATTTAAAATATATAACAATGATGTGTGTATATCCCGTGTTATATTTTTAAAATACTAGCTGGTCTTTGAGAGCAATGACATTTCCTGATGGTAAGTTATTCTTTTCAGAGACAGCGCGTGAATGTATAAGAGTTAGCCATTGCATACCAGCACTACATACATGTGTGTCAGCAGAAGGCGAGGAGATGACCTAGTCATGGTTGAGCAGCATTAGAAAATTAACCGGCCAAGTTGTCTAGATTGTGGGAAAGCCGCTGCTGCTACAGCTGGTAAAGATGGATGGCCGGACTATGTACGGCCTAATACATTGGAGGACGAAAATGAAAATGTTCCTCCTATTCCTGATCGTTTTCCATGGCACTCTGGTGCTAGGTGAAAGCGAGAACGAATCCGTCGGAGTGAATTACCTGAGCACGGTGACCGAGAAAGTGTCGCTGAGGGTATCTGAAAACCAACCCAGCGGCACGTTCATCGGGAGAATTCCCGTGAAGCCGGGCTTCCAGTACAGGTTCAACGACAACCCGGCGTACTTTGTCCTGAACGGAACGACGGGCGAAATCACGACGAGAGTTGTCATCGACAGGGAGAACCTAGCCGAAGACGTGATGAACCTAGTCGTGCTGAGCAGCCATCCGACGTATCCGATAGAAGTGAAAGTGACGATCGCCGACGAAAACGACAACTCGCCGGAGTTTCCCGATCGCATGTTCAACATCAAGTGGTCGGAGAACGCCGCCGTCGGCACGCAGTACATTCTTGATACGGCGAGCGACGCCGACAAAGGCGTCAACGGAATATCGACGAACTACGAGATCGTCTCGGGCAACACGGACGACAAGTTCACGCTGGCGATAACGGCAAGTCTGAGCGGCGACGAAGTCTACCTCTACCTGGAGAACCTCAAGCTGCTCGACAGAGAAGTGACGGACAACTACGTGCTGAACATCTCAGCGCGGGACGCCGGAACGCCGGCGCGCTCTGGCCACGCGATCGTCAACGTGACGGTGATCGACTTTAACGACTCGCCGCCGACCTTTGACCACAGCGAGTACGCGGTGAGCATCTCTGAGAACGCGGCGGCCGAGGCGAGCGTGATGCGGGTGCGTGCGACGGACGCGGACGTCGGCGCCAACGCAGAGGTCAGCTACTACATAACCGACGACACGGAGCAGTTCGCGGTCGAGCGCGACACGGGCATCGTGCGCACGCTGCACGACAAGCTGCGCTGCAAGAAGAACATCTGCGTGTTCACGGTGCAGGCGAAGGACCACGGCGTGCCATACCTGACGGGCCGCGCCTACGTGACGGTGAACCTGATCGACGAGAATGACCACAGCCCCGAGATAACGTTCCGCTATATCCCGGCTACGTCCGATTACGCGACAGTCAATGAAAACGCGCAGGATGGCACCATTGTTGCGCTTATCAGCGTCGTTGATAAGGACGAGGGTGACAATGGTAGGTGCTCTGTAGCCATCAAGGAGGGAAACGAACTGGGTGCTTTTCGCTTGGAGGACGCCTTTGGCTGGAGCCTGCTGAAAGTCAACAAGCAGATCGACAGGGAAGAGAACAGTGTGTACAATCTGACGATCCTAGCGTGGGATCACGGCGAACCGCCGCGCGAGTCTTCCGAGAACATAATCATCGTCGTCAACGACGTCAACGACCACACGCCGACGTTCCTCAAGTTGGAGTACGTCGCCGTGCTATCGGAGTCCGTGCCGACGGGGAGCTTTGTCGCGAGCGTGTCCGCGACCGACGCCGACACGGGAATCAACGCGAAGCTCACGTACAGCATCGTGTCCGGCGACAGTCACGGCTGGTTTGCGATCATCGCCGACTCGGGGCTGATAACGACGGCGCGCCGGCTGGACAGGGAGTCGTCCGCGATGATGACCCTCAACGTGTCCGTGAACGACGGCGGGCCGAGTCCGCACATCAGCTACGCAAAGGTGACCGTCCAGATCCTCGATGAGAACGACGAGACGCCCGCGTTCACGGAATCCGTCTACAACGTGTCGGTGTCCGAGAGTCTCCCGCCGGGCAGCGCCGTTGCCGCAGCAACGGCGATCGACAACGACGACGGTCCAAACGGAACCGTCGTATACGCGTTCGACTCGGACGTCGAGATGAAATATCCGGGAACGTTCCTCCTCGATTCGGCGACGGGGAAGATCTCCACGCGCGTGCTGCTGGACAGGGAGAAGCGCGACTTCTACAGTCTGGGCGTGATCGCGAGAGACGACGGCCGGCCGCCGCTGTCCTCCTCCGCGGCGGTGCACGTCACTGTGACCGACATCAACGACAACTCCCCCATCTTCTACCCGACGCACTACTTTGCGAGCGTGCTCGAGAACCTCCCCGCGGGCACCATCGTCACGAAGGTCGACGCTTACGACCTTGACGCGGGCAGCAATGGGCGCGTGCACTACGAGATCACGGGCGGCGCCGACGGAAAATTCCAGATCGATCCGGACAGCGGCGCGATAAAGACGAGCGCGAGCCTCGACCGCGAGGTGACGCCCGTCTTCAAGCTCACGCTGCGGGCAAGGGACGCCGGCGGCAGGGAGAGCGCCGAGCTCGCAATCGTCGAAATCAAGGTCAGCGACGTGCACGACACGCCGCCGGCATTCTCGCGTCGCCGCGGTTACGGCTTCAGCATCGTCGAGGATGGAGAGCGGCCCGACGTCGGGCGGTTCGTCGGGGCAGTCGAAGCGACGAGCACGCTGTCGCGGGCGACCGTGTCGTACGCAATCGCATCGGGCGACCATCGCGGGATGTTCCGCGTCGACGCGAGCAGCGGGGCCATCAGCACAGCAAAGCCGATCGACCGGGAGCAGGAGTCCGTCTACCACCTCATCGTCGTCGCGTCCGACGGGTCCGTGCCGGCGAAGACCAACGTGACGGTGACCGTGCTGGACGTCAACGACAACGCGCCGTACTTCGCGAGCCAGTCCGTCGACGTGCACGTCTACGAGAACTGGCCCGTCGGACACGAGGTGTACGTCGTCGACGCGCGGGACGACGACGAGGGCGGCAACAGCCGCATAACGTACGAGCTCGAGGACAACCCCGGCGGCATGTTCCGCATGAACGCCGTCACGGGCGCCGTGTTCCTCAACAAGCCCGTCGCGTCGTCAGCGCGCGAGATCTACCACGCGAAGGTGCGGGCGAGCGACAACGGCGTGCCGCGGCTCTCGAGCAGCCTCCGCGTCGCCGTGCACGTGCACGACGTCAACGACCACACGCCACGCTTCACGAGGCCCGCGTACGCGACATCCGTGCGTGAGTCGGCGCCGCTCAACCACCGCTTCATCACCGTCGACGCGCGCGACGACGACACGGGGCCGGACGGCGTTGTCTCCTACGCGATCACGGGCGGCAACGCCGACGGAAAGTTTGGCGTGTTTCCCGACGGGTTCCTGTACGTGCAGAGCGGGTTGGACCGCGAGACGAGGGACCGCTACGAGCTGACGGTCACCGCGACCGACCACGGCCTGCAGCCTCGCAGCTCGACGGCGCGCGTCGTCGTGCACGTTGCCGACGACAACGACAACGCGCCGGCGTTCGGCAACGCGACCTACGCGTTGCGCATCGGCGAGAATCTCCCGCCGGACACGCTGGTTGGTGTCGTCTCGGCGACCGATGCCGACCTCGGCCGCAACGGCGAGGTGTCGTACGCGATGGCGACGCGGCAGGGCGACTTCGCCGTCGACGCGCTGACCGGAGAGATCCGGACTCTCCGGGATTTCGACCGGGAAGTGCTCGTCGAGCTGACCGGAGACGACTTCTTCACCGTTGAGGTGTCGGCGTATGACAACGGCGTTCCCCGGCTGCGCTCGCACGCGACGGTCGTCGTGTACGTCGTCGACGCGAATGACAACGCGCCAGCGTTCGACCAGGACGTCTACGAGATATCCGTCTCCGAGAGCGCGCCGGTCGGAGCGCCGCTGCTGCGCGTCTCTGCGGCGGACGCCGACGCCGGCGCCAACGGCGACGTAGTCTACGATGTCGTTGGCGGCAACGAGGAGCGCGCGTTCGCGATCGACTCCGGCAGCGGCAAGGTGCGTCTCGCGCGGCTGCTCGACCGCGAGACGGCGTCTCGCTACGAGCTCGTCGTGCGGGCGCAGGACGGTGGCGAGGACGTGCATCTCAGCACGACTGCGCTCGTCGTCGTCATCGTGCAAGACGCCAACGACAACGCGCCGACGTTCTTCGAGCAGACTTACGGCGCGCGCGTGTCCGAGGCGGCCCTCGTCGGCAAGAGCGTCGGACGCGTGGACGCCGTCGACGACGACGAGGGCGACAACGCCGTCGTCACGTACGCGATCGTCGCCGGAAACCAGTATGAGACGTTCGGCATCGACGGCCGCACCGGCGAGGTCTTCCTCGCCAAGCGTCTCGACTACGAGCAGCTGTCAACGTACACCCTCAACGTCTCCGCGGCCGACCACGGCGTACCGGCGCTCACATCGTCCGTCGCGTTCGTCGTCGACGTCGAAGACTTCAACGATAATGCACCGGTGTTCTCGTCCGGTCCTGCGGTGAGACAGATTCTCGAGGGCATTCCGATCAACAGCGCCGTGTTCACGGTGTCGGCGACGGACCGGGACAGCGAGAACAACGGCCGTGTCGAGTACTCGATCGTGAAGCAGGAGCCGAAGGGCGCTCACTTCCGCATCGACGCGCAGACGGGAACAATCTACACGAACGGCGAGATCGACCACGAACAGCAGGCGATGTTCAAGCTGATCGTGCGCGCGAGCGACATGGCCGACGCGCCGGCGGACCGGCTCGCCGCGACCAAGCTCGTCACGATCCTCGTCGAAGACGTCAACGACAACGAGCCCAAGTTTGTCTCCATGGACGCTGCGGTGGTTCCCTCTACCGCGCCGAGCAACCACCTCGTGACGAAGGTCGCCGCGGAGGACGCCGACGACGACGACTTCGGGGAGGTGTTCTACGAGATCGTCGATGGCGACCGCGACGTCTTCCAGCTAGATGGCAGCACGGGGTACCTGTACACGCGCTCGCCGCTCGCCGTCGACGTCGCCACCTACTCGCTGAGCGTTCGCGCGTCGGACCGCGCGCGCCCGCCGCAGCGCCGCGCCGCGTCATCACGCGTCACCGTCATCGTCGCGGACGAGGACGCCGCGAAGCCGCCGGCGTTCACGCGCCGTCGCTTCCGCCGCAGCATCCCGGAGAACGAGGCCATCGGCAGCTCGGTGCTGTCCGTCGCGACGGAGGGCGAGACGGACGACATGGAGTTCTTCATCACCAACATTTCGGCGAATGGCGTGCTGCAGCCGCGGCTGTTCGCGATCGAGGAGAAGACGGGGCTGATGAAGACGGCCGACGTGCTGGACGCGGAGCTCGGCGTGCAGGTGTTCTACATCGACATAGTCGCAGTCGACAAGAAGTCCCTGCACAGCGTCGGCGATGCACAGGTAGGGAACCAGTAGTCAAACCTGTGTGCGTGCGTGCGTGCGTGCGTGCGTGTGTGTGTATATGCGTGTGTACATGGGTGCGGGTGTGTGTATAATATCAAGAGCGTATAAAGAAGGGTCTTCTTTATACGCTCTTGATAATATATATACATACATATAAGAATGACGCCAGGGAATCAACCCTAAAAGTGTCCTATGAAGACAAGTGTTCTTTATAGTTAGGCGGCTTTTTATAGACATGTCTGCTACCTCTAACATTACTGTACAACCAAATCTGTATACGTATGTGCATGTGTATGTGCGCGCGCGCGTGTGTGTATATAAACGGTCAATCAATAGTAACCTCGAAGGCTCCTTTATAGACAGGAGGCCGTTCTATAGAAGTGACCGCTAACACAGGTTTGGCTGTTGATGTAATGTTATCGGCTAAACCTTCACTGTTATTTCTATAGATCCCCCTCACTTAATTCGATGTCCATGGACCGGCTGCTAAATGACCACTTCCACGGTTGTTTTCTAGCGTCTGGTGAGATCTATCCTCCGGCTAGTTGGCCACGTGTTTATGTGGCTAAACCCTAACGATATCATGTTCAAGTGCGGGAGGGTCAAAGAAGGCTAAATGCATTGCAGCCTGTGTGTGTATGGACGGCATGATATATGTGCGTGTGTGGCCTATCGGCATGGATACATACTCACTCAATATACTCATATATATATATCCGAACATTACCGAAACAGTTGTCGCAGGCATGAATTGATGCAATGTGCACATCTACTACGTTTACATCGCCAGATGTTCATTCGGAACAGCTCTATCCGGCTGTGTTGCGTGACAGAGCTGTTACCGAGTAGCACTTGTATAGAGAAACAGTAGCCCCTCTAAATTTCCACAGGGTAAGCCGTCCGGTAGAATCGGGGCAGGTTTTATGTGAAGCAGCGCGTTGGAAGTGTGAGATATGCTACTACTAGTACTATAGATCGGATTGACGCTGGCACGGTTCTACAAAGTAAACGGCGCGCCTCGCTTGCGAGCCGATTTTAACGGTTCAGCAAAGTGTTAACTTAAGCAGGCGGCGCATAAGAACTTGGAATTTAGAGATAGGCTAGTTAGAAGTTCACGTGAAGTTGTCTGTGTGTAGCCAGCATGCGTGCCGGTCTCGAGCTATCTTTACTTTAGTAAGTTACGTCGCGGGCGTAAGTGTTTAAAAACACATGATACTTTACGAGAATGCAGAAAGACAGCTTCTGGCTAACGAAGCTATCTCAGCGTGCGCCTAGACTGTTTTTTGCCCTCATCGTAATTAAATTCATGTGCTCTAAAAATAACGACAAGGCGAGCCACTGCACCCGGAAGCTTTCCCGCTTAATGACATTTTACGTCGTCGCCTAGACCCTACCTGATTTCTGTAAGATACGTGCATTTACTCTTCTGTGTTTGCGCTTAATTGTATTGCTCTTCCCCGCCTCCACCTTCTATGTTTCTCTCGTTTTATTCCCCCTCTCTTGAACGCTCTCTTTCTCCCCCTCTCTCGCTTTATCTATCTATCCATTTCTCTCTATCTCTCGCTCTCACTCGCTCATCTCTCTTTCTCTCTCTCTCTCTCTCTCTCTCTCTCTCTCTCTCTCTCTCTCTCTCTCTCTCTCTCTCTCTCTCTCTCTCTTCCTCCGTCTTTCTGTCTTTCTTTCTCTCTCTCTCTCTCTCTCTCTCTCTCTCTCTCTCGTCCCCCTTCCATTTCTTATAGACGGCACATCCGCATATAATTTTTTGCGTACTCGTTAATCTGCCTGTGATGCCATATCCGTCATTTATCCACGTGTATGCTTCTGTTATTAACATCTGTCAACGCCTACCCGCAGTGCTGAAGCCCTATACCATATACAGTAATGTATATACATGTGCGCGAGCAGGAGCGCATACATTCCCCATGCATGTAAGCTGTCTTACAGGCTGCATGAAACCATCCAGAAATTCAGTTGAGACAACAGCTGCCAGTAACATTATTGCGGTCGCTGTTCTTTTTGAAGCCCGTATTTCGTTATCAACGAAAACATCCGATTTATTAATTCGTTGTAGTGCTGCTCTTAGGGGTAGTACTACTGTCGCAGTTTTTAAAATCTGGGAAAATCAGTCACTGAAATTCCTGCAGCGATTTAGATCACGAGCTGTCATTGGTCTTAGAAACCTATTTCTAGCGTCAATATTTTCGTTTCGTAAGTTTTTGTGGTGAGAGTGTTTAGCGCGAGTGCTGAAATAAATGTTAGAGCTGAGATATGCGGGCATCAGTGAAGGCAATGCGCAAAAAAATCCAGAGAATCGTGCATGCAACGTAAAGATATCTCCGTTTTTGGATACACATCTATGTAATGTTGTTGTACAAACCTCGTCGCTAGTATCCTATTATATTACAACCTACTTACCTACCTACCTACCTATACCAATCTACCTGATTGGTTACTTATTTCCCTACCTGCGATCTTCAGCTCCCTATATAATAATGCAGCATATATACAGTGCATGCTATTTTCTATCAGGCCAAAACAAAATATAGGTGTGGTTGCCATTTCATGCTGGAAAAAAATAGGGTAATTGGGTAGGGAAAACATTATTTTATTGAAACATTTTATTTACGAACCATGTCCGAAGGATGTGCGTTGTGCCTTTTAAAGCAGGAACTGTCCAATTCATTTTTTTATTTTATTTTTAAATTTTTTTTTTACTTTAAAGAAAATTGGCAATAAAATGTTTAGGGTTGCTGGGAATAAATAGGGTCGGTCGGGAAACGGTAACCACACCTATATTTTGTTTTGGCCTCAGCTGTGTGCGGGAAGCCCCCATGACTGGTTGTAAAGCTTCTAAAGCATCTCCCCGACGGCTGTGTGTGTCTGTGAGTCTGTGTGTGTGCGTGTGGGTGGGGTGCTGTATTATGAAATACGTGGATGCTTCTAATGCGGGAGCGTCTTATTACGTCGGGCATTCTATCGAATTGCGACACACGAACGAACGCGTAGACATAGATAGATTCCTGTTAGATAGAGATACCTGTCTGGTATTGTCATTTCTACGCGAGCAGAGGAACGTTCTACGCTTAGTGTACTATCGAAAATATTGTATCTCTACACATTTACATGGTTTAGCATTTTTATTACTTTGCTCAACTCGCTCATTAACTCGGTGAGTCAGCAGTTTAAGTTCCTTTACCTTTATAATCCTCCACCAAATATTAGCCGAAATGAAAGTGATTAAAAGTGGCTTTGTTAGGGTTTTTTCATTACCACTAACGGCATCTACCCTGGACAAACCCGTTTGCACTCAGTCATAGGTTACTATATACTCACTGTATAGCCTGCCATGGGGTATGCCGCGGGCAAACCCAGCACGAGATCTGTTTGCTTGCTGAAGGGATCTCTATCATGATCGTTGCTCACGGCCTGGAGGCGACAACCCTTGTTTTTCAAGATCGTATGAAAATGACACATCCGAGCAGAACACAGATCTCTTATATTACCCCCACCCCCACCCTCCGCTGGTAATTAGTATGCATTTTGAAAAACTGAAAGCAAGCGATTAATGGTGTAATGATGATGATGACTAGTGGGTGTAATGTTTGCGTTACTGCACTGCTTCAGTGCGGCCAGGAGATGTTAAACCTTTACTTTCATTTGCTACGGCTGAAAAACGTGTACGTATGAGTAAGCATATTATACCAACCACAATATATATATATATATATATATATATATATATATATATATATATATATATATATATATATATCACAAACAGTGTATAAAACAGTAGCACCTTATATTAACCAAAATGCACTAAATAATAGCACATTAAATGTTAGTGTGCGCGTTTCTCTGAAAGAGAGTTTTCTGGATGAGAAGCAGGGATTATTCTTATTTAAGCAGAATCAGCCATGCTTTGCTCTGACACCGATCCTGTCGTAGGACGATGAAGGCGAGTACAGTGTTCATCTTCTGAGCACAGCACCGTACGGCGTACCCAACTTTATATTCGTAGAACGCTCTTCCTTCCACAAAGCCGCTAACCGTAGAAACGTAACTATACGTCCAATCTATAGATGAACATATATATTAACCCAACTATTATATCATTTCTATGTCGTTGACGTACCATACATATATCGGAGTAAAGTTGGCCAGTGGGGTGCGAACCCACGATAGTTAGATGAGCGACAGTCTGCTACACAGCGAGCTACCATCACACGATATTGCGTACGCGGATTGTTAAAGCCCTAAGATCAAATCTCCGATATCTGCGCTGGGGAAGGTAATGGGGACTGTAGCCCTAATATCGGTTATTATCGCCTGCCAGCTAGACTCCTTTGTTGCCCCGCATCACGAGTACACCACGCAGAGATTAGGGGATAGTCGCGAGTGCCTCCCTTCACCTTACACTCGCACGGTCATCGATGGTTGTTGGGGTTTGCTGTGTTGCTGATTTCCCAGCAACTAAATTCGTACGTGTAGGTTCTCCTACTGCTTATTTATATAATGACACACTAGTTTTCTCTAACATCAAACGTCTAGTACCGTCCTAGTCCTAATACTAGTGCCAAACGCAGGACTACATTAGTACTGTATAGTCCTATAGTACTAGTCCCCTTATATAAAATATAATTGTATTTTCTCTTAGAGGGATGTCTATAGGTACTTAAAGCTTGGGGATTTTTAACAGGTAGTTTAGCAGCTAATGAAGGTGATGCTATAATGTACATGTATATATGGCCGGGGTCACAGGCACTTGGAGCGTTTCAATAAATATAGGGCCTAATGCTAAATAAATACGAAATCTATTTACTACTAAAGTCATAAGTGTTTCTCTACTCTCTTTCACCTATTATTGCCGACAATTTTCCTGTAAATGCGTCCAAATGCTGATCTGCAACACACACTGGCTGCAGCACGCTAGCTGCTGCACACTGACACATAAATATATATTTTATAATTATATTTTATTTTATAATTATATATAT